GTGATATGCTTTGGTCTCTTGTACCCAGCTGGCACCCATGTGTCTCACTGCCTACCCCTTTCCACCAGCCATGCAGCAAGTCCTGGACAACTTGGGATCCCTTCCCAATTCCACGGGGGCTGCAGAACTGGACTTGATCTTCCTTCGAGGCATTATGGAAAGTCCCATAGTAAGATCCCTGGCCAAGGTATAGTGCTCCTGGGAGACCTGTACAAAGGCCCTGTGTCTGGGGAGGCACAGTGGGGGATGGGATATTAACCACATGGGGCTATGGGAATGGGGCATGTGGCACAAGAGACTCCTGGAGGGCGGTGTGCATGAGCATCCATGCCCAGATGGTGAATCTGAGTGACTGTAGGTAGGGGGGCTGCCCAGGTCTGACTGGTGAGTGTGGGGACATGCCCATGTGGAAGCCTGTTTGGTGACTGCCAGCTCATGGAGGATATGATGGGAGGGGGGTGAGCATGACTGCACTGCAATCTCTGGAGTTCACCCTGTCTGTCTCTCTGTTGTTGGGCATTTTGTGCAGACATTTTTACAAGGTCACCTGCCATGCATCAGGTGGGTGAAAAGACTCACTAAACGAGATAGTTATGAAACATTTGGGTAAACAGCAGTGATAGGGGCAGATGCAGTAGGCATTTTGGAGGGTAAAGGACAGATGCCTAACCCAGCCTGGGTTGGGCAGGGGAGGCTTCCTGGAGGAAGGGCCACTTGAGCTGAGTCTTGAAGAATGAAGAGGAGGGGGAAGGCATTCTGGGCCATGGGAAGAGCTTGAGCTGAAGCAAAGGTGAGAAAGAGCCAGAAGTATGCAGGGGACTGGTGTGAGGCTGGAGCTTCAGGTGTTAGATAGGGAGTGTGAGCTTCGGAGATGCTGGCCGGTGGTGGAGGGCACTGGGGGCTGTGTCTGGATGCTTGGGCATTGTCCTGTGATGTCCTGTGAGTAACATGGAGCCTTTCATGGGTTTTAAGTAGGGGTGTGATGATGGAACATGGACATTTTAAGAACATCCCCTCTGGCAGCCACATGGAGTTGGAGAGACCAGAGGTGGGGATGGACCTAGACCTCTGGTAACAGGAAGGGAGGGTGAAAGAAATATTTAGGAAGTAAATTGGCAGTACTTGGTGTTGGGTATGAAAGGTGAGAATGGGGGTAGCAAGGCACCCTAGATTCTGCAGAGGGCAAGTGTGGGGCTGGTGCTTCCTTCTGCTGAAAGAAGAAACACGAATGAGGGGAGGGGCAGGTAAAGAAGGAGCCTGAGAGGAGAGAAGGCAAGAATGGTGCCAATAGCTGTGTTGGAGGCAAGGCTGGGCTGCACGGAATCATGTCTAATTGCTCAGATTTCCCAGCAGAGGTAGGGCAGTCATCTGGCTGGGAACTAGGGATCAGGGGTTGAGCAGGAAGATAGGATGGACTTGGAAGTAAAGGTTGAACTAATCACTGAAGAGGAGGAGAGAGGGAACCCATCAAAGCCAGGGAGCAGGGCTGACTTGAGGATGATGTCATGTCCCTGAACTGCATATCTTGCCTATATATGTGTTTAAATTAAACAATATGTGTTTTTAAACTCTGTATAATAGAATGAGGGTGTAAGCTGCCTAGGTGTTTGAGATTTCTAGTTTATATTAGTAATATAGTTATTGACATAAATAGAGATATAGATAGATCCATTTTAACCACTGTGTGGTATTCCACTATATGAATGGAGCCCAGTGTGTTTATTTATTGGTTCCCACAGTGAAGGGCAGGTACTTTGTTGCCTATTTGCCTCTATTAAGGTCAGTGCTGCAAGAGGATGTGAACATCCTCACGTCCATCTGCTTCTGCACGTGTGAGAGTTTCTCTAGGGTGGACCCTTGGCAGTGGAATTGCTGAATATGTGCATTATGAACCTCAACATCTGTACCTTCCAAAGCTGATTTCAGAGTTGGATTTATTGGACCACCTCATCTCTGGGTCACTTTAGCTATTGCTTTGACAGTGAGACTGCCAGTGAAATAAGGAGAGTTACTCAGGATGACAGAATCTCAGGGTTAGAAGGTCCACTAGCCAGCCCCCTCCAAAGCATGACCCCCCTCAGCAGCATTCTTCTCTGGAGGCTTTGTCTAATCTATTTGACAGCTCTCCAATGATGGCATTGCTGGCTGGCTGCCCCTGTCATCCACTCAGTCATTCAGTCACTCAGTCATCCATCATCTACTCAACAGATATCTATTGTGTGCTCACCAAGTACCAGGCACAGTGCTAGGGCTATGGCAATGAACTGTCAGTTTGTTCTCCCGATGGAGCCCAAGTCTGCCATCTCCTCACTGAGCCCTGCAATGTCCCAGTCCTGGGACCTCACAGTACAGCCTGATAGGTTACCAGTGTGCTGTATCAGACTAAGTAAACTCCCTTCTCCTGCCTGAGCTCAGTAAAATCCCTCTCATCTAAGCAGGTGTGACCCTTTGCAATGTAACTTTGTCATTTCTCCCATCAAATGGTTGTCTCCACTCTTCAATCTGGATTTGACCATGTGACTTGCTTTGGATAACGGGACCTACTTCTTACTCCTTGGTACCAATTTTAATGATTATGTATATAGCAGTACATTTCTAACCTAATAGACAAAGTACTTTTATCACAGATCCAGCTATAAAACTTGGTTCTCCTGGCAAAGTGGCCCAGAAACCCACAGGAATGGGGTCAAGGCAGAACTGCACCTGGTAGCTATTAACCTTTTAACCTCACCCTTATGAAGTTGAGCTTGGCTCTTCTCTCTGGGGATGTGGCAGACAGTGTGGGAGGGGCCAGGCTGGTTAGATCTGGGACCAGGAAGGGTCAGGGCCTGAGGGACAAACCCAGAGTAAAACGCTTTGGAGGGAAGTCAATCTGGCAGACAGATGATAAATCCAGGGGTTTGGCTGCAGACAGCAGGTGGCTGGCAGGTGGTTGGCATCTGGGAGGGCTGACATGGATCCAGCAGCAGGTGTTTCAACAACAGGCAAGGCTAAAGTAAGGAACCCAAGGCAGGTGACTTTCAGAAGTTCAGGCAAACTCCCAGCTGGGAGGCCTATGAACTGGTCCACATGAGGTGAAGGAAAAAGAACACAGAATTTGGAGTCAGAAGATCCCCTGGCCAGCTAGGACTTTAGTATATCTGTCAACTTTTCTGAGCTTCAGTTATTTCTTCTGAGAAGTGGGGATAATGATGCCAATCTGTCAGAGTCATGGTGAGGATAGGTGGGGAGGTCATGGATGTGGAGGTGCCTTTTAAATCATAAAGAGTTGTTATAATGTAGTCCTAGCCATTGGACTGGAGTTCACAGGGAGGATCCTACTCCTGTGGTGAGGCCAGGGTGAGAGAGGTGGCAAAGCAAGACAGGGCCCTAGAAGAATGAGGTCCCATGGGGGTCACTGAGCAGCAGACATGACCGGCAGAGGCTACAGTGGTGGGGAGCCCAGTGTATCAGTTAGCCATTGCTGTGTAACAAACTACCCCAACACATAGAGGCCTAAAACAATCATGATTTATTTCTCATGATTTTGTGGATTGGTTGGGTAGTCTTCCTGGTCTGAGCTTGCTGAGTTAGGGCTGGGTGCTCTAGAATGGCCTCACTCACGTCTGCTGTCTCAGGTGGGAAGGCCATGGCATCGAGGATGGCGAGATCTCTTATCCTCTAGCTGGATGGCCCTGGTTTCTTCACATGGCAGTCTTGGGAGCAAAGAAGGACAAGCTCCAGTTCCCAAGCACTTTCTAAGCCTCTGTTTGCATCACATTTGCTAGTGCCCCATTGGCCAAAGCAAATCACATGGTCAAATACATACTGAAGAGTGGGTGACGTTACCTTCTGACACACCAGTTTCTGGGACTTCTTTCAGTTTTTGAACTATTTCATTATGAGCCTAGGCATCTTCTGCCAAGAGTTGTTGGAGTGGGAGGGAGGAGGGAAAAGCTTTCAAAGAATTGGCAGTATAGCATTTCTGCATTTGCAATTGACTTATGGTTCTGGATTAGGAGCTGGCAGATCTGGGTTCAAGTACAGGCTCTACCATTAACTAGCTGTGAACCTAGCTCCAGCTTCTGGTCTATAATGAGCTTGAGCCCCTGCTGTGCTAAAGATGATTTTCAGAGCAGAATTAAACAGATGGTTACCATTGAAATTCAAAGCGACTCTGCTGGTTGTGGGGCCTGGTGCCTCTAATACTGCAGTGTGTGCTGTACCAAGAACATGCTTTCTAAAAATAGGTGCCCAGATAGTGACATCACAGCTGTGGGAGAGCTCAGAGAGTCGGGGAACTTTGACTGGGGTCTCTGGTGTACAACACTGAATTGCATGCTGTTAAGGAATTTATTGTACCTATCCAAGTCTCAGATACTTTATTAGGAAAATGATCTTAATATTACTAATCTCACAGGGTTGTTGTGACTTTTAAATGGGATAATATTTTGCAAATGTGATGCTTTACCATCGGACATGCGTATACCCCCATGACCCAGCAATTCTGTTCCTGGGAGAAACCCTCGCATGTGCACCAGGAGACACAGACTAGAATGTTCGTAGCAGCACTGTGCACAATGGCAAAAACCTGAAATGGCCCAGATGACGCTCCAAGAACGAGGAGATGAATGAAACGTGGTGTAGTCACACAATGGAATATAATGCAGCAGTTAAAATCAATGAACTAATGTGATGTGGAAAAAAAGAATGAATCATAGCAAAATAGTGTTAAGTGAAAAATTATGTTAAGTGAAATACGTTGTCTCAATATGAAAAAGGAGAGTAAATCTTTTTTATTTATTTATTTAATTTTAAATTTTATTTTTGTTTAAAATATTACAGATGTCCCTTTTTCTCCCCAATGCCCCGTTCCGCCCCATCCCTTCTCCCTACCCAGTCCCTCTCCCCACCATTGTCCGTGTCCTTGGGTTGTGCACATATGCATATAAATTCTTTGGTTACTCTCTCCCCCTCCACCCAACCGCCCTCCTCCATCCCTCTGACCTTCGTCAGTCTCATCTATGCTTCCATGTCATTGAATCTATTCTGTTCATCAGTTTATTAAATTCTTTAGATTCCACATATAAGCGAGATCATGTGATGTTTGTCTTTTGCCGCCTGGCTTATTTCACTTAGCGTAATACTCTCCAGGTCCATCCATACTGTCCCAAAGGGTACGAGATTCTTCTTCTTTACAGCTGCATAGTATTCCATGGTGTGAATGTCCCACGGCTTTTTACCCACTCATCTGATGGGCACTTGGGCTGTTTCCAGATCTTAGCTATTGTAAACTGTGCTGCTATGAACATCGGGGTACATATATTCTTTCTGATGAATGTTTCAGGATTCTTAGGATACATTCCTAGGAGTGGCATCACTGGGTCAAATGGCAGCTCCATTTCTAATTTTTTGAGGAACCTCCATACTGTTTTCCATAGTGGCTGCACCAGTCTGTATTCCCAGGAGAGTAAATCTTAGCAAAATTATAGTGGGTAAAAATAGTAAGTGAAATACTTTAATATTAATTGAAAAAATATTTTAAGTGAAAAAATTAATATTAAGTGAAATTTTATTAATTTAAATAATATTAGGTGAAAAAAAATCTGGCACCCAGAGATTACATATAACATAATTCCCCCCCTTTTAAAGGTAAAACTAATGAAAATCAATATTCATTTTAGGAATATGTAGACTACATATAGATACAATAAAACTATGTAAAATGGGAAGCCATGAGTGGTGGGTTCTTAGGTCCTTGCTATATTATTACAAAAATATCTAATTTAATACCAACTAACTAAAAGGAAGTCATGAGCAAACCAATGATGAGAACATATCATGAACCAAGGACATGATTAATCCATTTCTGAGTTTCCAAAGTCCCAGAAAACTGTGTTGCAAACTGTGATATAGGTTGAGTGTTCTCAGCACTGGTCAGTCAGCTGTTTCAATAAGCCTGCTATAGTGTTTCTGTTGTATTTGAATGATTAAGTGTTTAAAGTTTCCTCTGGGCCAGGAAGGTTGAGTTTGGAGAGCTATGCTTTTATATCTGGGGGCAAGATGTCCAGGGGTAGCCTCAGGAGGAGGAATGGATCAGCCTGGGGGAGGAGGGTCATTAAATCAAAGATTGGAGGTAAGTGGCTTGGGAAACACCCTGGCTTCCCGAGTGGCCAGGTGGGGGCTCCGAGGGAAACTTGCCCTCCTTGTCAATGGAGCAGAAGATGCTGAAGCTAGAATGGGTGGACTTTTATGCTCACATCATGTCACCTGGGCCAGAGCTAGCTCCTTTATCCTGAAAGAGCCCTGCCAGGGCCACCACAGTGATACGGCTGCATGCCCAAGTGCCTCTGTTCATTCTTGAAACACAGTTCCTGGGGCTCCAGACTCCCAGCATTGACCTAGACACAGTGGTAACACAGAGCCGAGAAGCTGCATGCGCTGTGCTGAGCTGAATGACTGAGGATCACACAGGGTTTGGTGAACCTTCCAGGCATGCCTCTGCCCTCTAGTTTCTGAGGGTCATCAAGGCACACCAGCCTCGGAGTGCTGCTCCTTTTCCCTTTCAATTACTTGTTTCCCCAGCAGGAGCCCTTTGCCCAGCCAGACTGTGGGAGTCAGTCTGAAATGCTGCCTACCTGGTAGAGGTCGGTTTAGGTGACAGTGGGGCCAACATGCCTCCCCATGTGGGATGCTATTCCCCTGGCCTGTTTGGAGCAGAGAAGACAGAAAGGAGCTAGCCTTTATTGAGCACCTCCTATGTGCCAGGCCCTGAGAACATCTCACCAAATCCCAAGTATCCTTATGAGGTGTTATTAAAATCTTCCTATCTCTTGGGCTTGAAAAACTTTCCATTATGGAAATCTAAAAAAATGTCTCCTGAACCCCCACCATCCATTGTCCCCTTTCAACATTTAACAACTCATAAACAGTCCATATCTCTTCCTACTTCCCTCTCTCCTGAATTATTTTGAAGCAAATTTCAGATATATTTTTATCTGTATTTTAGTATGTATAGCTAAAAGAGAAAGATTCCTTTAAAGGTAATCACATTACCATTATCATATGTAGAAAATCAAACAATAATTTTCTTGTGGATTTTTTTGTTCATAAGCATTTAAAAATTTTATTTTTCAATTACAGTTTACATTAAATATTATTCTGCATTAGTTTTAGGTGTACAGCAGAGTGGTTAATCATGTACTTTACAAAATGATCCCCCCTATATTTCAAGTGCCTACCTATAGTATAATTGACTATATTCCCTATGCTGTACTTTACATCTCTGTGACTGTTTTGTAACTGCCAATTTGTACTTCTTAATCTCTTCACCTTTTTCAGTCAACCCTGCAACACTTCCCCTGCTTATGGATTGTTAATAAATGGTATTGGAACACCTGGATAGTCGTTTGGAAAGATAGCAAAGCAGAGCCATACCTCACATGGTACATTGAAATAAACTCTGAGCAGATCAGAGATCTAAGTGTGAAAAAATAAACCATAATGTCCTAGAAGAAAACATGAATGGGGGGGAGTCTTTTTAAAAAAACTATACCTCAAAATTCAGATGCATAAAATATTAATACTTAATTATATTAAATATATATTTTTGTATTGACAAAAAAACATAAGCAGAGTCAACAAATAAATGACAACTGGGGGGAAATACTTGCAAGAGATATCACATGTAAAGGGCTTGTCTTTCTAACACAGAGAACATTTAAAAAAATGGGAAAAGAGAACAAACCAAGACCTGATAGAAAAATTGGCAAAAAACATGAACAGACAATACACAGAAAAAGATATACAGATGGCCCTTAAACATATGAAGAGATGCTCAACTTCTCTTAATGCAAACGAAGCCCCACTGAGAGATTATTTATCATCCATATGACTGACAGACATTCCAAGTTTGATCACACACTGTGGTCGCAAGCTTTTGGGAAAGTCTGTAATCCATGCCAGTGGGAGGGCAAAGTGGCCCAAGCCCCATAAAGGGGAGTTTGTCAGAACCACGTATGTATTTACTGCTTGACCCAGCAAGACTTCTAGGTATTTACATGGAAGACCTTCTCCACAGATTCAGAAGAGATATGCCAGTGTTATTCACCGCAGCTTTATTTACAATAGTGAAACATTAGAACAACCTAAATGCCCCTGGAGACTGGTTGAATAATTTACGGTACTCCAAAACACACAATAAGTCAAATGCAGTAATTAAAATAATAATAATAATTAAAAAATAATAATAAAGGAAGATCTGCATGTTGTAGCATAGAGTGATTTCCAGGGCATATTAAGTTTAAAACCATATCACAAACCAAACCAATTAAACAAACAAAAAACCCAAAGTATCGAAGAGTGTATATAGTGTTCTACCTTGTATGTAAGGGTCTAGAATCAGGATTTAGGGGTGGGGAGATGCCTGGGGAGTGGTGGGGGAGGCATTGTTTGGTACCAGGGCTCTTGGGGAAGCTCAGGTCTTACCTGTTCCACCCCACCCCTAGGCCCATGAGAGGCTGGAGGAGACGAAGCTGGAGGCTGTTCGGGACAACAACCTGGAGCTGGTGCAGGAGATCCTGCGGGACCTGGCGGAGCTGGCAGAACAGAGCAGCACAGCCGCTGAACTGGCCCGCATCCTCCAGGAGCCCCACTTTCAGGTTGCTGGAGTGGCAATTAGGGCAGGCCAGCCTGGCAGGGGGTTGGAGGTGGGATGGAAAGGGACTGCAGGGCACTGCTCCATGGTCCCTTCTCTTCCCACCACCTCCCCAGTCCCTCCTAGAGACGCACGACTCTGTGGCCTCAAAGACCTATGAGACACCACCCCCCAGCCCCGGCCTGGACCCCACCTTCAGCAACCAGCCGGTGCCTCCTGACGCTGTGCGCATGGTGGGCATCCGCAAGACTGCTGGAGAACATCTGGTGAGGGTGCTGGGCAGGGCCAGAGGTGTGGTCCTGATGGGGGGATTGAGAATAACCAGCGGGGGTTCAATGCGGTCTGGAGAGGGCTAAAAACAAAGGTGGGGTCAGCTTTGCCCAGGGATCAGCCCATGCAGACCCAGGAGATCGCAGACTGTGCAGATGAACTGCATTCGCACATGTGCCAATGCAGTGCCCTGTTCATTCTGCCCACTTCCCCTCCTTTAGTGCTCCTGCAAGTGAGGAATTTGGGCCGCGGATGGAAGAGGAGAATCTGTGAGGGCGAGGTGGGAGGGGGGATGGAAACACGGGTGCTGGAGACCCCATTCAAAGATTCTGACGCGGAGCAGCTGGGGCCTCATCTTACCCACTCTCCGCCCTCCAGGGCGTGACGTTCCGCGTGGAAGGTGGCGAGCTGGTGATCGCGCGCATTCTGCACGGGGGCATGGTGGCGCAGCAAGGCCTGTTGCACGTGGGTGACATCATCAAAGAGGTGAATGGGCAGCCGGTGGGCAGCGATCCCCGCGCGCTGCAGGAGCTCCTGCGCAGTGCCAGTGGCAGCGTCATCCTTAAGATCCTGCCCAGCTACCAGGAGCCCCACCTGCCCCGCCAGGTGAGTCCCTCCACCAAAGTCCCCATCCAGCATAAGGCCTAAGGGAAAGCTGAACCTCCCAGCGTTCCAGGTCCCAGGCCTCGGCGGTGTGGGAGCATCTCTTCAACCAGCACTGAAAAGCAAGATGGGGGGCGTGGCCTGTGGCTGGGGTGGGGAGGCGAGTGGCCCAGCCACCTATAGGCATCTGCGTGTGATGCACACACTTGCTCTTTCGCCCTGCTCTTGGGGCGCTCATGCGCACGTGAAGGGATGTACGTGCATTCAGGGCCTGCGGTTCCCGAGGGTACAAGTGAGCGCCTACATTGTGTGCAGCCGTCCGCATGCCTGCCTGTCTGCATGAGTATGCAGTCCGATTGCCCGGTGTCCTGTACAGCCGCCTCCCGGTTGGTGGATTGTGGAGGTCTGGCTGCTTTGCCTACTTCTGTTGGCTCTCTAGCAGTCTGCCAGAGCCTCTTCCTCCAAGGGGAGGGGTGAGTGGATGGAAGGATCCTGCATTAGGGGTTAGGGTCTTTGACAGTAATCCAGCCTCCTCTGTAGGTGGGGCCAGGGCCCCAGGCCAACAATCTCCCATCCTTCTGATTGAGTCCTTTTGTTCTAGATGCAAAGGAAGGCTGATACCAGGGAGGCAGGCCAAGCAGGCCTGTGGGCATCACACCTTTAAAGGGGCAGTGCCAGGGCCTCTCTCATCTTTGTGAGGGAAGGGGCAGAGGGTAGACTGTATGACACTATCCCCCATGAGGTTGGGGGCTGTGGATGGGGGATGGGAGAGGGCACATCCCCTCTAACCTTCCTCTGCTTCTTCCCTTGACCCTTCCCTGATCCCTGGTCCAGGTATTTGTGAAATGCCACTTTGACTATGACCCAGCCCGAGACAGCCTCATCCCCTGCAAGGAAGCGGGCCTGTGCTTCAATGCTGGGGACTTACTCCAGATTGTAAACCAGGATGATGCCAACTGGTGGCAGGTGAGCCCTGGGTGCCCATGCAGTCTCTCTAGGCATGGTGTGCGGGGGAGGTGAGGTTTTGGGAGGCAGCTTTGCCTGTGTCCATTTTAGGCATGCCACGTAGAAGGAGGCAGTGCTGGGCTCATCCCCAGCCAGCTGCTGGAGGAGAAGCGGAAAGCCTTTGTCAAGCGGGACCTGGAGCTGACACCCACCTCAGGTATAGCGCCCCACTCCTAATCTGGGATCTGCCTGTGTCCCAGCCTAGCCTCACTCACTCATCTCTCTATGGCCAGGGACCCTATGCGGCAGCCTTTCAGGAAAGAAAAAGAAACGAATGATGTATCTAACCACCAAGAATGCAGGTGGGTATTGGAGGCTCTTCCCCCTGCCCTCCTCTAACATGGCACATCCCTTCTCTGCCCCCACCAATGACTTGTGCATATGCTGTCCTGGTTCTGATGCTGACAGTCTTGTCCCTAGGCACTGCCCAGTTTCTTCCTGCTGCCCCTGGCCCCTGAGAACCCAGACCCACCCCTTTCACCTGATGAATGGCCTGATGAGCAGTGCCCTTTCCCTGTGTCCAGAGTTTGACCGCCATGAGCTGCTCATTTATGAGGAGGTGGCCCGCATGCCTCCATTCCGCCGGAAAACCCTGGTGCTGATCGGGGCTCAGGGTGTGGGTCGGCGCAGCCTAAAGAATAAGCTCATCATGTGGGATCCAGACCGCTACGGCACCACAGTACCCTGTGAGTGGGAGCTAGGCCCTGCTGGGTGGGGATCAGGAAATGGGACGCCCTGGGAGACAGGTCTGGGTCCCCTCAATGGGCATAGGTAAGGGCATATGTATGGATACCACATCAAGTAGCACTTTTGGGTATGAGGTGTGGGATGAGCGCCCTCTGTGGGTTGGTGGGGGATCTGCAGGCTTGGGAGGTTTTGGAAGCTGTCCCTTGAGCCTGTGACCAGGTGGGCTGAGATAGCCTTGCTTTTCCTTCTCTCATATTTCACTTGCTAAAAGCCCAGCTGGGTATCCATGTGAAACAGGGCTATGAGCTATGTGTGGCCTTGTGAAAGGCAGGGTTTCTTGGTGACAGAACAGGTTGGGGTGGTGAAAGCTCCTGCTCCCTGGAGGCAGGAACCTGAATGCTGATGCCGGGTCAGCTTGGCCTTGCTTTATGGCAGCACATTGTCCTCTCTGGGCCTCACCTCCCTACCTGTGAGCACTGATCTCTGAAGTTTCTCTCAATGTGAATGTCTAAAATCTCCATGTGTGTGCCAGTGGTGAGGGTGAGGGTGTGGTGTGTGGGAAGGCAGCAGAACAGGACGTGGAGGGCAGGCTGTACCCCTAGAGATGTGTGACACATGTAGAACATGTGCATATGTGTCTGAGGTAGCATGGCTTGCCTGTGCCAATTCGACCCCTCCTTACCTATAGACACATCCCGGCGGCCCAAGGACTCAGAGCGGGAGGGCCAGGGTTACAGCTTTGTGTCCCGAGGGGAGATGGAGGCCGACATCCGTGCTGGGCGTTACCTGGAACATGGCGAATATGAGGGCAACCTGTACGGCACACGGATTGACTCCATCCGGGGTGTGGTTGCTGCCGGCAAGGTGTGCGTGCTGGATGTCAACCCCCAGGTACTGCTGGCTCGCTCTTTCACAGCCTGCCTAATATCCCCTCTGGGTACGCTGATTCCCCCAGCACTCCCCCCAAATTTATAGGCACTCATCTCCCAAGCACCCCCAGGTAACTCCTCAACTACTGCTAGGGACTAAGCTCCCCAGACCCTCTTTCTCAGCCTCCCAGATCCCCCACTCCTCTAGTCTCCTCCAGTTACCATGTCCCTAGTCACTTACCAGCTGTTCCTTAACATTTGTCTCCAGGACTGATGTCCCAGAACTCAAGGTACCCTTTTCTCATTCATTCCCAGGTACCCATCCTCACCTCCGTCACCCCAGATGTATGTGGTAATATATTCCCCAACCCCTCTCTCCTTCTGCAGGCAGTGAAGGTGCTGAGAACAGCTGAGTTTGTTCCTTATGTGGTGTTCATTGAGGCCCCCGACTATGAGACCCTTCGGGCCATGAACCGGGCTGCACTGGAGAGTGGGGTGTCCACCAAGCAGCTCACGGTGAGGGGCTCTGAAGTGCAGTGGGAGGGACAGAGTGCTGACCAAAGGCAGTCCAGAGGACCAGTGGGATATATGTGGGCAGAGGCAGGCTAGGTGGGCTCTGGGCTGTTTACAGCTTGGGGAAAGGCTGAAGGGAGGGAGGAAGACTGAGACTGGAGGGATGTCTAGAAGGATGACTTAGCATTAGGGAGGTGGCAGTGATGGGAGGAGGGGCTTCAAGTCAGGTGTTGCAGGACTCCAGGGCACCCTCCTCTTCCTAGGTACCCTTTGGAGCAGCCTTCCCTAAGAGGTATAGGGTTTGCAGCACTCTGAGCTCAGGTGTCCCTCTGCAGGCCATACCTGGTACTGCAGCTCTCGGCCTAGATCACAGCATTGCTCTGGCTTTGGAGAGGCTGTTTGGGCTGGGCTCCCCTCTGCCGCATGCCTCCCTGGCTACAATCACCAAAGACTGGTGCTGCTGGGACACGCTGGGCCAGCCCTAGAGCTCATGTCTTGGCTTATTTAAGTCAAGTTCCTTCCCACCCCTTCCTGACCAGCTGGGACTGGGTTTGGGGTGGGTGTGGCATTGGGCACTTGTGGGTTGCCCTAGTACCAGATGTGACAAGTGCCTCTCAGGCTGCCTTGGTGAGGGGGCCCAGTCAGACTGGAGGGAGCACTGGCTTTGGAGTCAGGCAGACTCTGTGAGCTCTTTGTACTTCAGTTTTCTCGGTTGTAAATGGGGGATAATTAGTCCTGCCTTGCACAGCTGTAGTGAAGATTTTATGGGTTATAAAGAGCTTAGTGCCATGTTTGGCACTTACTAAGGGCTATTTCCTTTCTTCCTTTTACCTGTCTGTCTGTCCATGGTTGCAGAAGAGCCACCTTGGACATGGAGGGAGGGACTCCTAGACAAGGAGTCTGTACCCACCATGGTTGGGCTTTGGGGAGGGGGCTAGATGGGGCAGGCTGTAGATCCCCCTGATGATGGGGGTGAGTGGGAGATACTGACGGATGGGAGGTCGCCTTGTGTTGGCAGGAGGCAGACCTGAGACGGACAGTGGAGGAGAGCAGCCGCATCCAGAGGGGCTATGGGCACTACTTTGACCTCAGTTTGGTCAACAGCAACCTGGAGAGGACCTTCCGTGAGCTCCAGGCCGCCATGGAGAAGCTGCGGACGGAGCCCCAGTGGGTGCCTGTCAGCTGGGTGTACTGAACCTGTTCAACTGGACCTTGTTCCCTCTGGGTTGTGACCCAGAAACCTGAGCCCATCCCTTTCCCAACCATGACCGTCAACCATGATCCTTAGCTGCAATCCCTGGGGCACTGGTTCCCTGGGTAGCAGCTCCTAGCAGGCCCTAAGTCTGGCTTCGGCTCAGAGGCGTGCACTGCCAGGGAGGCGGGTGTTCATGGGGTACCTCTGTGCCCAGGTGCTGCCCCCTCCTGATGCCCTTTGGCCACCAGTTATTCCTCCCTGAGGGCCAAACTGTGCCCAGGAGTGTGTCAGAGTCACCTCCAAAAGGCTCAGTTCAGAGAAAAGAGGAGCTGCTTTAGGACCATGTGGTCAGTAGGTACACTGCCCCTGCCACCTCTCTCCAGTCATCTTTTCTCCTCTGGATTGGCCACCCCACCCCATTCCTCCCACCTCTTACCCCTATGTCCTAGGAGCAGGCCTTAGGCTTTTTCTATGTGGCCAGGGGAGTGCAAGGCCCCGGCAGCCAGGTAGGTCTGAGCAGTGATGCCAGCCTGGTGCCATCCTGAAGACTGCAGGAGCTAAAGCATGAGCCAGTTGTCACAGCTGGGAGCAGTGCAGCTCTCTGCCCCCTTGGAATGAGGCAGAGTCCCACGAGTGGACCCTGCCCTGCATTTCCCTCATCCACAGCTTTTCACTGCCGAAGTCTCTCCACAGACTTCTCCAATGTGTCCCTGACAGGTCTGCTCTGCTCTCTGCAGGCAAGGCCAGCAGGGGTCAGCAGGCTCAGCCCAGGTCAGGGTGGGGTTGGAGGCTGAGCCTGCAACCAGGAGCCTGCTACTACTGACCGAAGAGCTCCAAGCTCTCCATGGCCCATGGTGAGGACACATCTGGGCCCCCTGTTCATGACCATTGTCCATTGTGGTCTTTGCTTTGGCCAGGGCCACATGGTCTACTAGTATCAGGGCTGACTGGGGTGCTGAGGAATGGTGTGGAGGGGAACTGTGAGCACTGGGCCATGGAGTATTGTGCTTTGGCAGGCTCCTCATTGCTCAACTCCAGGTGGTACCATCCATAATGTTTCTGTGCAATTTTCGTCCCACATGTGACACACCTGGTCGGAGTTTCTGCCACTGGCTTGTGTGTGTCAGGCTTGGTTTTTGGAGAGGAGAAGCTTTGGAGGTCACTCTTTGGATCCCCTTTTCAGGGTTTCCCATTAGCTCCCATGTCTTATGAAACCCTTATCCCAGATTCTAGAGCCTTGGCCCTCCCAGATGTCTTCCTCCAGCTCTCCTACTGTCCTCTGACCCTAAATACCACTGTCCAGTACTTGGGGAGGGCAATGTGTAAAATAGGAGAATCCCCCCCTTTTTTTAGAGAGAGAGAGAGAGAGAGAGAAATCTATGTGAGAGAGAAACATTGATTGGTCACCTCCACACGTGCTCCAACTGGTGATTAAACCCGCAACCTGGGTATGTGCCCTGAGTGGGAATCGAACCCACAACCTTTTGGTGTATGGGACAATGCTCCAACCAACTGAGTCATACCAGCCAGGGTGAGAATCCTTTTTAAGGAAAGAATGCTGTCCTCAACTTCCCGAGGCATCTCATCCCTCATCCTTCTCTGTGATCCTTCCTGGGGTGAGCCTGTCCTTGCAGGGGCCCCCCAGCCCCTGTGCTTCGCAGTCCTTCTGAATGTCTAATCAGTGTTCGCTGCAGTGTCAGCCAAGCTGGCCCCTGAACCACTGTGTGCCCATTTCCTAGGGAAGGGGAGGGAGAAGAAACAGAATATTTATTACAAAGTTAGAAATATATTTATTATATTAGGTATCTCATTGCATTTGCATAGGACATGCAAATGAGATGTCAAGGTCAAGCCTGCTCCCATCTCATTTGCATAGCTTTGCATCCACTATGCAGTCATCTTTATACTCGTCTTTTCCCTTTAGTCAGCCTTGTTTTTATCCTAATTCAGCTCCAACATAACCCTCACCCAAAGCCCAAGGGGACTGGGAGTGGGAGGAAAATGGGGTGTTCTGCTGGCCTGAGGCCAGTGTCCTTTGCCAGTTCCCACCTCACCTGGGGGACTTTGGAGTGGAGGCCGCAAAGGACCTGCTGTTGTAGCCACCCACTCCCCCTTGGTTAATCTCTAAAGCCCTCTAACCAGGAGATGGGGGGTTAGGGGAGCTGGGCACCTTGCTGGGGTGTAGGCAGGTGACCCTTTAAGGCGAATCTCCAGTGTTGATGCTGGCACCTTCACCTCTAGTGATTCCCAGGGGGCAGGGCTGGGCCCCTCTCCTGTCTCCATCTCCCCACTCCATGGAACAGGCGTGTGCACCCACCGAGTTCGCTCTGACTGTCCTCCCTCCCACTGTGGACGCTTGTATTTGAGGGACCTCAGGATATGAGGTTCCTGTTCCCCACTGTCCACACTAAGTCCAAGCCCAGTTGCCCTTCCCCTCTCTCCTCCCTCAGTCACCCAATTCCTGAGCTTTCTCTCTTGACTGGTTTTCTTTCTTTTCCTTTGATTAAATGTGAAAGCAAAGGCTTCTGGGCTGTTTGTCTTTGTTTGGGATCTGGTGGATGTCTTCTGGAGAGGGTGAGAGCAGGGGACACAGCACAGATGATTCTGGAATGGATTCTGAGTGATGTGTCTTGTGTTATGTGATGTCTTCTGAAATTTCCAGTTCTGCCATTCCACACTCCCCATTCCCATAAGATGCTCCTTCTAAATTATTGTATCCAGTGGTCTGGGAGCATTCTCGGGGGCCAGGGGCCTCAGACTCCATGGCTAATCCACCCAGCTTCACCTGGAATTTGCTGTGTCGTCTTTAGCAGGTCCCTCTACTTCTCTGGGCCTCAGCAAAATTTTTGGGGGGTAAAAATTGGTAAACCCATGTGGTCCAGTCAAGATGGGCAGATCTGCTGCTTTTGTACCAGGCTTAGGGGCCCCACACTCAGATCACTGTGACACCCCTCCCAGCGGCCAGTTGTGGGTGCCTGTCATATTCTCAAAGTGTTGTAGGTGAAGAGCATGTTCCTCTTACTTGAGAGGTGCCCCAAAGCACACCACATCCCTTGCACTCTTAGGGGCTTTCCACCATCTGTGCTGTTTTCCCTTCCCCTATGAGACTCATGGATGAATTTAGAAATTCTCTCCTCAGTGGATTAGGATCATAAAACCCAATTGTCAAGGGGTAGGGTAGGGAAGGGAGAGCTCAATACATTCATCGTTTCCCTTTAATACTCTCTTTTGGTATTAAAATATTTCTTTTAAAGAAACAAATTATTATTTTGTTAATGTCCCAATTTTGCAAAACTAAACATTAGCAACTCTTTGATGTTTCCCTAATTTTTTTCTGAAGTTTTACCTCTCAGCTAGTCAACTGGAAACCCTTGCTCTCAGGATGGGTGAGCAGTGGCTCAGTGCCTTCTTTTGTTCAAGGGGATTGAATAGAGTCTTATGTATCTACAAAAGATTGCAAAACTGAATATGTTGGTGTACAAAATGTAAAACCTAGGTGCAGCAAGCTGGGGGATTGCAAAGCAGCAACTGGCAAGAGAGTGGTCCTGCTCCCCTGCTGGGAGGGTGGAGCTGAGCAGGCACATGGCGGTGATGGGAGTCAGAGGAGTGTGTGAGCATCTGTGATACTTGAGTGTCTGACAAATCCACGGAAACTTCGAGCCCCATGGATGCCAATCCAGGGTTGCCTTGGAGAGAGCTCAGCCACAGAAGACATCAATCTGTTTAATGGGCACATGGTCTGAGAATGGGCCAGGGGTGGGACTGGGATGACCTGGCTGCCATAGGTGACAGGTTAAGAGCATAGGAGGGTTCTTTCCCTCCTGGCCAATCCCAGTTCTCATTAGCCTCCAGCTAGGAGTTTCTCAAGGGGGGAGTCTGCTGTGGGTGAGCTTTCTGGAGTGTCTCACACCACCTGAGACTTGCTGCTCCCTAGCTCCCCCAAATATCTGGACACACACTGTGCCTGGATCCTGGGCAGAGTCCCCAGAGCTCAGACCTGTGCTCCCTCTTCACCTGGAGAAGGTAAGTAGTGCTCACCCTCTCCAGAGGCCCCGGGCACTGGCTGGTAACTGCTGGTGAGTTTCTGTTGCTTGTCAGACCAGCTCCACCTCACCTAGCCCCCTGGCCCTCTAGGGTCTTCCTCCAGGGGCATCCCTGGGTGGTCTCGTTACTGGTTCCAACTGAGTCCAAATGCTCAGCTGCCCATCAAAAGATAACTCCCAATGATTTTCTGAGAAGGATCTTTATTGCAAGCTAGCAAGCAAGGAACACACCTGGGATCGCTTCAGGAGTGTGTCCCCCCGAACAAAGCATCTGCTCTATCTTTACTGGGGGAAATCAAGCATAAACATCAAAGTGGGGCTTGTCATTGCAGGTATAGGTGGGGACATTGCAGCGCACATGCAGTTAGAAAACTGCGATACATAGGCCACCTATTCAAAAATGGTGGAAAAATCTCTGCCTCTGGGTGGAGGTTTGAGTGTTATAATGAGGGTGTAATGAAGAACGTTCATGAGGAGGTCACTAGAGGGTCCTCCCAGCTGCTTCAGCTGGCTCACCCCCTGGTCCTTCAAAACATCCTGGGCTTAGTCCTGAATAACTGCCGGCGATCATCAGCCGCAGAGGTAATGGTTATCAGGGAGGAATTTTAGCTGATTACGTCTTGGTGTTTCTGTGAAACTTTTAGCAAATTACAAGACACACATTACATAAACCTTATCAATTCTAGGGTGATCCTGGGGTTACATCAAGGCAAAGTTATACACTCTACATAAAGGTTACTCTGCTAGATCCTTGCTAGCCGCATGTCCAGGCCAGGTTAGGTTACAGTTTCTCCTGCTGCACCCACAGGGATGGGTGACAAGGCTGGGGAGGGCTTGAGGAATGCTGACTGTGAGGCCCTGGTGGGAGTGAGATTGGTTCTGCCATCTCAGAAAGCTGTGTTAAACAACAACAAAGAAAGCTTAACTTCCACGGCTGAATGCCTTTTTTTTTTTTTTAAAGGAAAGGGCATATTGGGCCATATTACTAGCCAGAAAAGGACGAGATTCTGAGGCATGAAGTCTAGACCACCAACAGCATGGTTTGGTGAAGGCAGCATTTCGCCCATCCTAGAGTTGACAAGTTTTTCTATATCATGTTTTGGGAAGAAAGATGTAATTTGTTTGGAAAGAATTTACATTGGCTGTAGAGAAGGGGGACAGGGACAGTTCTGTGATAGGAGCACATTCTGGGGAAGAAAGAAATATTTAATTCTTTTGATTGGTTACGGGCAACGGTCCTGAAAGTTCACGCATATGCTGGATGCGGTGGTGTCTGGGGTCCGCTGGGAGAGGCCGGGAGGTTGATTCAAAGCTCCAGAAGCCATTCAGGGATGTCAGCAGTCTCTTGTCAGTTGACTCACAGCTATTAACTGGTTAATTAATTCACCAGTATAATAATTAATTGGTTAATTATTCCTGTCTCTTTTGCTCACTCTCCTGCCCACTGTAATTTAATTTAGGACATCTCGGAATTGTCCTTTTGTCAGCTGTTTAGCAATGGGCATGAGCAACTTCAAAAATATTTACACCCTATGACCCAGCACTTTCACATACGCAAATCCTTCTAAAAGAAATCTCCAAATGCAGATAAAGCCTTGTACAAAGCAAAAATAGGAAATAATTATCTGGTGAAAGAACAATGAAATGAAAGCACGCTGATACGATGAAATATTACACAGCTGATAAACATTTATTTATAAAAGGCGTGTGAGAACATGGAAAAATGCTTACATGCTACAATAATGAACTGGGAAAAGCAGGATATGAAATTGTATATGCAAAATAATTTGTGAAAAAACATCAGCAAATGATATGAAGGAAAAAGACTGAAAGGAAGTGGAACAAAATGCACTAATGACGATCTTCAGCAGTGGTGAGATGATGGACGGCTTGTTTTCTTTTCCCCTCCATCTTTCTAAGTTTTATATACTGGGCAAGCCTCCCCCCCTCCAATCACTTTAAAATAAAAAAATATATATAGTAGCTGATCAGGGGGCCTGATCAGGGTCACCTTGAGGTTCCCCTCAGGTTCCTGCCCTACCCCCTTCCTCCTCCGTTTTAGAGGCCCATCTGCATCAGTGGTATCCTACTCCCAACCCCCCACCAGAGCCCACAGGAAATTAACTTTTTTTTTTTTCATTAAGAAGGAGGCAAGCTTTTCTCCATTCTTCTTCCAAATCCTGGAATGAATGTCTGGCTGGGTGGGGAGATTGGAAAGGCAACTCCCTGCCTTCCAGGGTGTACTTGCCCTGGCCCTGAACTCAGGTAGGCCCAGGAAAACCTCCAGCTGGGGCTTGGTTTCATGGGCAGTGCAGCCCCTATAGGGGCAGCTAGAAGACCCCACATTCCAAATGTAGATTCTAGGCTGCAGGGAACCCTGGCCAGTGTGGCTCAGCTGGTTGAGAATTGTCTCGTGCATGGAAGGGTCAAGGGTTTGATTCCCGGTCAGAGCACATACCCAGGATGTGGGTTCAATCCCTGGTTGGGGTGTGTACAGGAGGCAACCAATAGATGTTTCTCTCTCACATTGATGTTTCTCTCTCCCTCTCTCTCTTTTTAAAGTCAATAATAAAAAAGAAAAGAAAAGCTGGAGGGACCTCAGAGTTCATTGGGCCCATTGTTTCTCCACCTCAAATCACCAGGCACTTGTGATTTGCAGAGTCCTGGGCCTCACTCTGGGGTGGTTTTGGAAGGTTTTGATGGAGGACAGGACTCACATTTTTAACCAGCTTCCTGAAGGACTGGGATGCAAGTGGTTCACAAGTGCACTTTGAGAAATCAGAACCTTTCTAACCCTAGCATGTCTCCCCCCACCCATCTTCTTCAGGAGAAAGTGGTGCTGAGTCTGAGGATGGAAGGAAGGGAGGAGATGGTGGGGTCTGGAGGAGGAGGGGAGCCTGTTGCTGGGCACCCACGCCCAGGGGATTGCCCGCAGCAGATAAACTCAGATCAGGTCTCCTAGGCCCTGCCTGGACCAGGGGAGGGCCCAGCGGCTGCACGCCTTGCCCAGGGATGTTAACGTATTGGGGAGGTCGCAGTCTCCACTGGAACTGTGAGGCCACCATGCAGACTGATGGAGGCTTCCAGGTCAGGTTGGGGCCTGCAGGAGGAGAGCCTGGGGTGCTGTGGAGAGCCCTGGAGTCTGACAGGTGATCTCTGAGGCCAGGGCACAAAGCTTATTTGAATTAGTGTAAATCCAGCCATTCTGGTCTGGCCTGGAGGGCGTTCTGTGGCTAGACTGAGATGAACACAGAGGACTGAGCTCCTGCTCAGACAAGTGAAGAGGAAGCCCACCCCCTGGGTCCTAGGAGAAGGCTTCCTCCGGTGTCTGTAAGGACAGCACTGGTGTTGGAAGCAGAGTCCAGTTGGGGGGATCTCTAAGTATCTTCTCGGTCCACCCAGCCTTCCCCACAGTTCTAGGCCTCTGTCCTTCTGAGGGGGCACAGGAACTAACAACTTCTCCCAGAACCCCAGGTTTTTAATGCCCCCCCCACCCATTCATCCAAACCCCGAGGGAGCCTCAGGCCATGTTCTGGCTTTAGATGTTGGAAGCCTGCCAGCCCAGAGCTCTTTAAACTGTGATTCCCACGAGCAATTCAAGAATTTTCTGGATGGGAAAATAGATGGAAGGTCAAGAGCTCTGGTTCCCAAGTGAAGCGGTTATGATGGGGTAGGTGGGCACGTGGGGGGAGCAGAGTTTGGGGAGTGATGCTGAGGAAAGAGCCCCCCCCACTTCCCCGCACTGTCAGAGAGGAGCCAGACTGGGTGGCTCCCGATCCCCAGGGCCCTCTGTCCACACCTGGCTTTGGCACCGGCTCTCCGTGTAGGGGCTGGCGGAGGGCTTGGGGCTGGCGTGAGGCCCAGTGGGTGCTGCAAGTTTGGTCACAGCGGACTCCGGGACCAGGCCGTTCCCCAGAGGCCGAAACAGAGGCTCAGTCAGTACACAGCCCGTTCTTGGCAGGAGGGGTGGTCTGTGAGGCGGGAAAGAGGGGAAATGCAGGAGGGGTGGGCAAGGGGGAGAACATGGGCTGTGGCATCACAATCCTTAGGCCTAATTTCCTATGTCTCAGTGTGACCTTGGGCAAGGCACCTAACCTCCCCTGAGGCTCAGTTTCCTAAGCTGTAAAATGGGGATAAATTTTTTCCTCAGGGTTATACTGACTATTCATGATAATGTTTTATCACTCAACTACTGGGCACTCCTGGAATGATTAATTTGCTTTCATTATTGTTATTTCTAGCTTTAGCTGCAGGTTTTTTTGAATAGGCAGAGAATGCAAAGTTGGACACCTCAAAGATTCACCAAATATGCCCTGGTTGGTGTGGCTCAGTTGGTTGGAGCATCATTTGGTACACCAGAAAGTGGTGGGTTCGATTCTCGGTCAGGGCACATATTCAGGTTGTGGGTTCAGTCCCTATTCGGGGCACTTTTGGGAGGCAACTGACTGATGTTTTGCATCTCTCTCTCTCCTTCTCTTCCTCCCTCTTTCCCTCCCTCCCTAAAAAAAGTCAATTGAAAAAAAAAAGATCCACCAAATAACAAACAGTTGAGAAGAATTCTTCAGAGATCACCACTCTGAGTAACCTTTCCTTGATCAAATGAGGACACCGAGGCCCAGGGAAGCGGTAGGTGTCTAGAGTGAGTGAGGAAGCCCATCTCCTCACCCAGGCCCTCCTGCCCCCTTGGGTCCTCAGGTTGGGATGCCAGGCCCCTTCACTTCCTGCTCCCTTGTCCTAGCAGCTGGGCAGAGCTCAGGCTGTAGTTGGCCAAGGCCCCTGGCCAAGTCTCCAAGGGCACAGCTGCCCGGAGGAGTCCAGCTGTGAGTCTCATGGCCTGATGGCCCTGAAGCTAAAGATCGGAGCTACTGTTTTCTGGACACCTACGGTTGTCTCATCTCACACTTTCGTAACTACACCCGTCAGATGGGAAAACTGAGGCTCAGAGAGGTTATGTAACTTGCCATCGGCACACAGCTGGTGAGTGGCTAAACTGGGGCTTGCACTCATTCGCCACTGTTTGACCTCAGACCCAAGCTCTTCTACAGCAGTCAGGCAGGGCACGTAGCACACTTCTCTTGTGTCAGGGCCCCTTGTCTACTAACTGGGCCTCCTGCCTCTATCAGTGCCTTAGCTTCAGGGGATGGGGCAGAGGTGGATGTTTGAAGGGACAGAAAATGGGGGGAGGGGGAAGGAGACTTCACGAATGCTGTCACTCATGGTCCTTGTCCCTCCAGCCCTGCCTATGGAGAGGACATGGTAGAGCCAGGGCTGACCAGAGGACTCCCTGAGTGGACTCAGGTCCATTTCCCACTAATCCATGTTTACAGCTTTGTGATTTGGTTAAAACCCACTCACTGCTGACCAGCAGTCACAGAAGTATCACCTACTCAAGGGGGACTGAATGTGAGGAAAGAACCTCATAGGGCAAGACCAAACTTCACATGGAGGCAGTGGCCAGGAACACTACCCCATGTCTGGTGTGGGTCTCTATCTTCGGTCCCTCTGCCCACACTGTGGACAATTGGCCCGTTCCAGCAAGCGCTGGGGCATTTTCTGGGTTGTTGAATATACAAGATATATATGACAGCCCCTGCTGCTAGGCACTAGAAAAATAGGAACAAAGACTAAGGGAAGCCGAGAAGTGACAGTCCAGTCCTGATCTGAGCCCAGCACTCCCAGGTGGGCTATTACAGGAGTCAGGGGCATGGCCATCCTGAGCTCACGGACGGAGGGTGGTTCTTTGTCCTGAGTCTGGGGGAACAGTCCTAGGCTGAGGAGTTGGCTCCACTCTGCAACCCCTTGTTCTTCAATGTGGGGGGTGGAGAAGCACAGGGAATTGCAACTGGCCCCACAGACTAGTTAGTTTCCCCAGTGCTGCCTCTTTGAGGCTGAGTCACTGTGGGCAGGTTACTTACCCTCTCTGATCCTCTATTTCTTATTCTGTAAGGAGGGGAAATAACACCCAGCTGTGCAGGAGTTACAAAGATTCAATGACACAGCAGTGCCCCTGGTGCATAGTAGGTGTGCCAGAAAAGAGTAAAAGGCTTCTGGCAGTAGCTCTCTGTGGAAAGAAGATGCTGGTCTGATCGCTAACACTTCCCTCTGAGTTTTTACCCACCCTGGGCTTTCTGTCCAACTGAGCGGAGTGTCCTTTCCCCTCTGACCTGAACATGGGCAAAGAAAACCCCCAACCCTTTCAACTCCACCACCAGGCTCTGCGCAAACAGAAAAGCCAAAGAAAAGCAAAAGTTCTCAACTGACCATGTTCACAGGGTCTTCCCTCTGACCCTCTGGGGAGACCTGTTCCATTCATCTCCTAACAAAGGGCTGTCCCACCCCCTCAGCTCCTGCGCTCCTCCCACAGGTGGAAGGAAGCAGAGCAAGGCAGCCCTTCCAGTGTGGGCTGGACAGCGGCAGAGCAGGGGACACGGCTGGGGCAGGCACTCTCAGCCTCCCCACCGCCTCCCCACAGCAGCCTGGAGGCTCTCCCTCCTGCCCGAGCCCCTCTCCTGGCATTGGCCAGGAGTGAGCCCCAGGACAAATAGCCAAGGGGCCGGGCTCTGAAAGTGGCAGTGGCAGCCCTTGTCCCTCTCCTTGACCTTTCCCTCACTCCTGTCCACCACCTTTGGCCTTGGAGAGCTTCCTGAGACAACAACAGCTGCTTCCTAAGCCAAGCCCAGTACCCCATTCCCACCCCCCACCCCC